TTCCTGTATTAGCGGTCGTCCTCAGAATCACATGAAGAGGTGATCCAGTACTCGTGTGAGATTGTTCGTAAGTCGAAGAGGATGTATTTCCTACAGAGGAAGGGAGTCGTGTGGTCCCGGATTGGTATTGCGACATACTAGGATTGCGATCTATGCCGTCTGATTGAGCTTGATGGTTTCGATTCGGCCCGAGGTGTGGCATATTGCTTAAAAAGTCGTGTTCATCCAGCTCTTGCACATCTTCATCCGTTTCATAAACTAGGTTATCTGCCAATGAACTGAATACACCTCCGCCATCGTCTTCTTCTGGTTGACCTTCCCTCTGTACACTATGAGCAATCTTTTCCAGATATTTCCGAAGATGGTGGATCCCAGGTCCGGAGTAAACACAAAAGGCTGCTCTTTGAGTATCATTAAAGTTCTAAGGAAGTAGCTAGGTGAGGGGCTTATCGTTTAGATGCTGACGACACACGTACCGACGGTGGAGGTCGACAAAACTGTTGCAATTCAGACCGTCTGAAGGCAGGGACACCAGTTAGACTCAAGTGAGTCAGTTTTGTGAGGCGCTTTAAGAGTACATATATTGCCCTGACAGTGATCCTTTCGCAGTAGGATAAATGGACTCGTTCCAATGTGCTCCCTCTTGCTGTAAGATAGCGAACGGCATCATCCGTTAGATTTGGTACTCTGACAAGGCCGATACGTCGTAACTTTGGAAGTGCTGCAAGCGCTTTGACAGAATCGTCTGTCAAAGAGATGCAACCTGATAGATAGGTTAGGTCATGTCATAACCTACGAGGAAATACTCACAAGCAAGATCAACATATCTCAACCGTACACAGCATTTAGCGAGGTGGCGGATGCTACTATCAGTTATAGCGGCTGCATGTCCAAGATGCAAAAACTGTAGGTGTCTTCCTAACTCGCTTATACTTCGTACTGCCGTATCAGTCAAATTGGAACACTTGGCAAGCACAAGGTTTCGCAGCCTTGGAGCGTTGGCGATAATCCCGCTGACCGCCTCATCAGTAATATGGACAGACATGAGATCCAGCTGACGCAGGTGGCCAAGTGGCCGTGACAATAAGAGGGGAGGAAGTAGGGGTAAGACGATTGGGGTTGTATTCGATGGTCCATTTCCGGTGTTTCCAGTAGAAGCGGGCTTTGCCAAACGGGGAGCGGCAGGGAAAGCGAAATCCCCAATATTTGAACATTGAGCTAGCCTCAGCTCGCGGAGATGGCTACAGTGTGTCCATATGTCCCTCACTGCCCCTTCATCGATTTGTATGCAACCATTCAGGTCGATCTCGATGAGTAAAGGGCATTGGTGGACTAGCTTGGACACGCTGTTTCCAGTGATCCGGTCTAGTTCACAAAGCTTGATGCGGCGGAGGAGTGGACAGTTTTCTGCAATAGCCAGTAGACCTATGTCTGTGACTTTCTTGCAACCTTCAAGGTTGATCCCTTGGATTTTGTTACAGACGTTAGCCACCGATACAATGGTGGCGTCGGTAACGTCGACGACGCCTGTAAGATCCAATGCAACTAGGTTGGGCATGTTGCCGAGGATCGAGAGCGAGTTGTCGGTAAGATGGATGCACCCATTGAGAGTCAGCCGCTCGAGGCGTGTGCACGCCGTCAAGCAGCGGAAATATATATCTTGTATGTCATCAGCGACACCAGAGAGATTGAGTCGTCTGACGAAGCGTGCATATGGGAAGTAAGGCTCTATTTGCGCTGTCGCCTCACTTTTCCCTTGCGGGTCTTCAGTCTTCTGGGTTTCTTTACCGACACTCTCGCGACTTTGCCATCTTCCGTTTACAAGAACTTCCCTTGAGTCAAAAGTTATTTCTCCATTACTTTCCGGGGCATTGGGGTTGAAACCTGGCTGGATTATTCGCAAAAAGGCAAGAAGCGAATCCAAACTCGCCAAATGCGGTTTTAGCCAAAGTAGCTCTACGACGCACTGACACCAGGTGCTAGACACGAAAAGACAGTTGTAGAGATGAGAGGTTTCTGTAAGCTGTCTAAAAATGTGTATTAGCATCTCGAGGGGTAAACTGTCGATTGGTGAGCGGCGTGCTGCTTGTGTTCCACGCCGTTGCAAACTCCCTCTTTCTGCTTGAATGTGACCTTCGACGGTAGAGTTTACTGAATGGCGATGATGAGACCATTGCGCAGGGGACGTAGGTGCATAGTTTCGGATTTGGTCATCGTCATTCTCCAGATCGACCTCTGAATCACTTGATTGGACTGGTGAAGGACTCCTCAATTTATGAGATTTGCGACGTCTATGCTCGCTCGTTCGTCCGCGAGAGGTCATGATATTCGGTCGTGGTAGCAGCGACGGTAGTGAGTAAACGTACAGCGCCCAAGCAAAACTACCCGTAGCTATGTGGATTGTCGACCCCCAGATTGGTCCATTTAAACAGATTTATTTACCAACTTTTATGATAATCACTCGAATTAAATACACGAAGCTTCTTTACAGGACGCCATCCTAGGATAGACTAGCTCAAATACTGAACTAGGTATGGGCTTCGTGAACACTTGGCCACTCAGCTAAACCAAACCTCCTCTGTGCTGTTCCTGCGGCCTTTTCGGTAATAGAAACCAATCGACCGTGTCACGTCCAGGTGTTAGAAGAAAAGGGTAATAGAGCAGCGGCGACTTGTCTTCCCTCCTCTGATAGAAGGTTAAAGGTCGAACCGGCGTTTCTCTGTATCGAGAGTTTGTTAGTAAATAGAGGATGATCAAGGCGTGCATCCAATAGCAACGAATCCTTACCGTGTCCATGATCTCAAACTGCACTCCAATTTGGTGTAGATACTGCCTTATGGATGGAGGAGGTTGCAAAAGACTTTTGCCCGTCCCAATGAGGAGAATTTCTACAGATGAAAAATGTCAGAGAAGTCGGCGTATTACTAGACATCATATAGACATACCAGGCTTCGGAACGAGAACTTCAAATAGCTCAAAATCGGCAGCAGACCATCCGTTCCATGGAGTGCCCGGTGTTTTCCAGAGGAATACTTTTCCACGGGTCAGAATACAGCTTGAGCGAAGCGTAAGGCCGTCCTCAAGTTCAATTCCTCCTATCTCCGATATATTTCTAACTTGAATTCCTCCGACTGTGGAGGTATCGAATAGGTTGGTAAGGCCTCCCGTATTCACCCAACGCTGTTGAACAGGAGTAATAGGTGACCGGTGTATTCTCTGCCTTGGAAGGTGCGACATGCGAACCAAATTAGAGGAGTTTCCAAGCAGAGCTCTCTGGACTCCAGAGGTTTGACATGGTCGGAACGCTAGCTTGGAATGTGGTAGGAGTTTAGATGCCATGTGTGATGTGACCGTCGGTCGTTGAATCAAGACTCCTGTACTCTACGAATTGCCTTGGCTAAACGATAGGATATACAGGTAGAATTCGAAAATACAATATATCGATTTTATTGGATGTTTTATGGTTCCACTTGAGGTGAATTGTTTAGTTGGGGATTTAAAGTACATTCATGATGTTAGTATATGAGCTAGGAAGTCTCTTCAAGTTCTCCCAGTAAAAGCGTGGAGTCTTTGCTACCGGTGAGGACTACAAATGGATATGAGTGGTAACTTAAAAAATGAAATAACCACTCACTTATCGGTTCTTTAGGATGGAAATCAGCACAGGTTACTGTTCCCTTATGACCGGGGAGCTTGTATTGTATTTTTGTTGTCTCTACGTCCCAGATGGTAACGGTACGGTCTGCTCCACCAACAGCTACTCGGCTACCATTATCAGTTCGGGACCATGCGCCACGAATTAATGCGTTTTCAAAGCCAGCTGGTGCTCCTGTGATAGACGTGAAGCTCTTGCTTTCTAAATCTAGTGAAATGGCATACCTAAGAGTGTGCGATGTATTCTGGTTGGTGATGGGCTGAAAGGTCGAATGTCGTGAATAATTGTTTGTGAAGAGAGAGATGGTGACATGATATATGACCCTGATTTGCTCATTAACAGAGAGTGTGGAAGTCAAGAGGTACCCACCATCGGGAGACAGAGCGATTGATGTCGGGGTATCAGTATGCCCACCCAGGATGGTGACTTCTTCACCCTTCCGTAAATCATATACCTTTGAAAAAGGTTTTAGACAACGCGAGAAGTCATTTCTCCAGAGTGCTTACATGAATGAGATTGTCCAATGCTCCAATATAGACCGAATTTCCATCAGGTCCCCAGCACACTGCGGTAACGGGACATCCGAGTTGCCAGTCGGCAACACAATGTTTTGATCCTTCATCCCCTCCTTCCCAAACTTTCACAGTCCCATCGTCTGCAGCAGTTGCGAGAAGCTCGATGCCGCTACCTCCAGCGGTGGTTGTTGAGATTGCATTGATGATCCCAGAATGCCCTCGTAGTCTTTTCACACGTTCTCCTGTTGTTAAGTCGGACATTGCGATAGTCTTGTCCGCTGAGACTGTGTATAAGATGGGCGAGATTGATGACCATTGCAGATCCGTGATAGCGGTTTTATGAAGGTTTGGAAGTTGACCATAATTGTTGGAAGGCGCGTATGTTCGCCATAATGCTGCAGCGACTTTAATGACTTCAACTCTAAACACGACCACCACTACGACTTACAAACAGATCGGTCCGTAGAACATGCGGCAAGATTCTGGCCTGTAGGATCGAACCTAGCGCTCAAAACTTCTGCCTTCTCATACATTAGCTCTTAATCCAGCCCCACGGAAAATCATGTCCTACCGTGTGACCACCTGTTAACGCGACTATAGGACTCTCAAGTGCGCTTGTTCGTTTCACAGTCCTATTTTCAGGAATCAGTCGACGTTTTTCGAGTGGAAAGACGCGAAAGCCGACCTCACTAGCGCCTGCTCCCTGGAATTTGCTGGTACTGAGATAGCT